GTGGGGCAGCATCTGGGATCTTTGCATGAATTTCCTAGGCAGAGAAAGATTCCATCAAATGAAGGCCAGGGTCAAGAAGGAGGTGGGGCCCGTACAGTTACCCTGCGCCTTCGCCACCCGGCCTCGCTTCCTTCCGCAGATGCGCACACATTCACGGTGCAGATGACCGAACCACTCCTGGCAGCGGTAGAGGGTGGTGGAGACCGGGAAACGCAAACGGGGCTTTAACCGCCGGTGGCAATGCGGAGGGAGCCTTCTGCAGTCCGCGGTTGAGCAGCCTCATGAGGTCCCAACACGAACACATCCACCCGCTCACCCACCGTTCTCGCGCTCCATTTTCTGTAACTCTTTGGAGGTACAATTCGTTTTGAAAAGAGAAAACATTGGAACATAGAACTGATTAAAAGCAAGACCAGCATCTAACATAGCCACCATGCTTTACCCTTGAAAGGGCGCTTTGTCACCCCAGGTACAGAAGTAGGCTCGCCAAGCTTTGCCGGATGTACGCACTCCATCCCTCACTCTCCGAACCTCCCAGTAACAAGCTCACTCCTCACAATCACACCACAAGGCCACAACAGGGTTCTCGCCTTTGTAGAGGAAATTGAGGCTCAAGAAGAAGCGTTCAAACCAACCAGTAGGTGGCGACGCTGGAGCTCAAATCTCCTAACCTAAATTCAAGGCCAGTGTGTTTTCTTCTCTAAGAAATAAATTCTCTCAGGCTCACCCTTCAGGTTTCTGGCCTTCGCCCGCGGGCGGTGGGAGAAACTCCGGAAAGGCAAATCAAGCCTCGGAGCACAAATCCAAGCAGGGCGGGACCCACACGGGTGTTCCGACTCCGGCCAGGCCGCGGGAAGGAGCTGAGCGTTTGGAAGCGTTGGGGGAGGGATGCAGCACTCCTGGCTGAGAGGTCGGGCTGTGAAGTTGAAGGCGACAGATTCCTAGGACCCCGTGAGTGAAGGAAGGGCAGCACGACCGCCCTGCCACGGCCCTCGTGGGACAGGTCTTGAGGGCACGGCGCGAAGAGCCCAGGCCTCCGACCCCTCTCCACTGTCCTCACCACAACTTCAACCCCTAGCGCGCATTAAAGCGCCCCGGGCTTTCGAAGGCGCGGGTTTGACGCCTGCTGATTTCCTGGGAAGAAAATGAAGCCCAAAGAGAGAAAACGATGCCTGTAGGGTCATCCCGCTGGTGGTGCCTTGGGAGGGGGCTGGAAACCAAGTGATCCCTCCCGGGTCGGTGAGGCAGGTCTCTCCCTCCTTCGGGTCCACTCTGGGGCCACGCGGCTGGGGAACGCAAGTGCCCAGGAGTCAGGGGAAGGCTAGGTGAGAGGCAGGGCTGGGTGACTGTGAAGGCTCCCGGGAGCCCTAAACGTAACCTTGACGGACTTCCACACGTGGGGGGCAGTGAGTGAAGGGAGAACCCACTGAAATCGAGATGTACCCGGGAGCTTTTGTCTTCTTCCTAGTCCTGCCCTGTCTCAGGCCCCTGGCTGTAACCTGCCCCCCTCCCCCGCCCCCTCCCCCGCCCCCTCCCCCTCCTCCTCCTCTTCCTCTTCCTCTTCAGGCTGGCCACAGCTGTCCGCAGAAGCCCTGGGAGGGTCTGGCCTAGATTCAGGCAAAAGAGCGTGTTGGACCGCACAGGGGCTTAGGGGTACGCAGGAGAGAGAATGAATAGCCGCGCCGAAAGTTCCATATCTTTTTCTTGCGAATTTGTACTCCCCTCCATAGAGCCGATTAAATGCATTAAACCTTTCGTGGAACTCTTCTTCCTAGCCCAGCGTCGCCAACAATTACCTAAGGGTAAACCCAACTGCGCCTGAGATAATGACACTAAGCACCCCCTCGCCACCCCCCCCAGCAATGATTTGCCTGCCAGCGTCCTCAGTGCCAGCCAATATTTGGATAGTGTAGTAGTTGTTTAAAAAGAAAGTTACACACAGAAACTTAAAACCGACTGGTTCGTGCCGAAGTGGTTACATGATCTGTTTTTCTTGAACCGGGGTCCGCAGGCAGCTGGAGCGCGCACGTTCTGGTGCTCCTACGCGCCTGCAAAACTTGCCTGAATTAAATCAACCTCTGGGGAAAGAGGAGGAAGAGTTCGCCTACAGGGCGACTGGAGCTCTTATTACTGCCTTGTCCAACTCAGAGCTAACCTCGAGGGCTGCGTCCCTAGGCACCCATCCCGAGAGGTGGCGGCCGGCCCGCAGGCTGCAACTACTGTATCTTACTCTGCGAGCGTCTGGCTCATAGCTTCAGGGTTCAAGGTTCACGTGACGTGCATGCGTAAGTGTTGTCCAAGGCGCCCTCCAAGGGTCCTTCCCGCGCTCGGGCCCTAAACGCCCGACATCCCACTTGCCCAAGAAGAATAGTCCTCAAGCTTCTTGCTGCTCGGAAAAAAAAGAGGCACTGACTTTACAGGACCCCGAGGAAGAGATGCTGTCGGCAAACATCCACAAAAGATCCCTTTGCCCGAGCTGCGTGTAGGTCCCGCCCCACAAAACCTTTAGGGCTTCTCGCTCGGAGCTCTCCGAAGCGACCTTAAAACGGCCAGCACTACCGCCGAACAGCAGCCTCCTGGGCTAGGACAGCACTTTTCTCGAACCCTATGGCTCGGGAGAAGGGGCAGCCCGGCTTCAGAGGACCCTGGCTGCCATTCTAATTGTGACTCTCCTTGGATTTCCTCTGTAGCTATTCTAAACCAGGAGACCTTCCACTGCCGGCTCTTAAAACTATCTCATTGAATCAAAATCCCTCAGAAACTCCTTTAGAGGAAGGAACATTCCTGGCACAGAGTAACAACGAAGGCATCCTCCTCTTCTTTTTTATGCCAGGCCAAGAAGTTGCTTCTTTCCCCCAGGTTCCTCTTGCATGCTTCACCTTACCACCTACCTTTTCTAGGACGTCTGCCAGCCTAGAACAAGTTACTCAATAGCACTTGCCAGAAATCTAGCCCCTGGCTGACGAGGGAAGCTGTGAGCCTGTCCTGCTCACCACAATCCTAAGACCCAGCTAAGAGACCCAGACCCGTCGGACATACACCCGTAATGCAGCTCATCAAAAGCCAGAGGCTGAAAGCATCCGACTGGTATCCCAGGATTACGGTTAGAGCCAGCCTCTCAAGCCACTGGGGCCAAGAACCTACAGTTTTAGGCACGGAGAAGAATAAATTAGAGCCAGTGAGCCATAGTCTCTAACTGCTCTTTTCTCCTCAAATCACGGAACTGGACAGAACCCGTGGAATTTCCAACTTCAGACACCTCATTCGAAATCAGAATACAATTTCAGGTTCTCCTTGCAGTCAACTGTCTTCGCTGCAGTGTGCAGCACAGTGCAGAGAAGGAGCTTGCAAGCAGAGGGACCTCAGCTCCCAGCACATCTGCCTTCCCCTCCCAGGTCACACCAGCGCCCTGTGGACTGAGCGTGGCTCCCTAGTTCACGTTAATCCTCTCCCTTTCCCTTCACAGGCTAAGCACAGCCGACTTCGCTGCACACTCAGACGACAGGACCCCTGAGCTCCCAACTCTTCTATCCCAAGCTCAGCCATCTTCAACCCCAGAGAAACCTTTCCCCGTTCAACCCATCCTTTATAGGGGAGTGTGGCAGGGCCTCTGCCCACCAAGCCTTCATTTATTCTAATTTCCTGGTTAGCGTGTCTCGCCCTCTAGACCGCTGTCCTGGGACGCAACGGGCTGTCTGATGCTTCCCTATACCTGGCGGGGACTATACAATAAAATGATGACCAACTTGACGTTTAATGAAAATGCCCCCAAGTTTTTCTCCTCAGAGGCTTCTCCCTGCGGCCCTCCGGGCACCGGGATTTCTCTCAGAAAAGAGGCTTGAGGACAAGATGCTCTGAACTTGACCCGGAGTGGCTAAGAGAAAAAAGAGCCAAGTGCTTAGGTGGAAAGAAGGAAGGCCAAAAGGGCGCGGGAGATGCCAGAAAGTAGGGGAGCGAGAAGGCAGCTTCCTGTCCCCAACTACCGCGCGTCACGGACCAGGTGGGGCGCGGTTATGGGGACCACGCGGCGCGGTGCCCCCTCCCAAGGGACAGCTTGCGCTTCCGCCCCACAGGGCTGCGCCGGAATGGGGGTGGAGGAAGGGGGGAGGCGCGGCGCCTCCTGGCCCCTTTCACAGAGACGCGGCGGCGGCGGCGGCGGAGTCCCCCAGCCTCGGTCATGTGATAGTCTCGCAGCGCGAGCTGCAGGGGTCTCGGCGTCTCGGGGACCATTACAAAACGCAGCCGGGAGAGCGCGGCGTTGCCACAGCCGCCACCTCTCCTCCTCCAGACCCGCTTGGGAGAGGGGCGGCAGCTGCAGCGTGGACGGCGGGCGGGACCGGTCGGAGCCAGCCGCGCCCTCGCCGGCCTTCGCAGACGCCCCTCCAGCCAGCGGTTCTCGCCTGGCGTCCTGCGCCCGGGTCCTTCTGCAGAGCCCTGGGCGCCGCGACTGCGGAAACCATCAAACTTTCCCCCTTCCGTCCTCCGCTCCGCTGAGACTCTGAGCAAAGGGGTGCACAGGCTTCCGGGAGGGGAGCCCCCCAGGCAAAACCAGAACTGCAGTGCAGACTGCCTCTGGCCTCCAGGACAGCGAGCGCAACCTCGGTGGAAGGGGCCAGAGCCTCACTGGCTGGTCCGGGGCTCCCTTTAGGCGGGAAGAGGGCCGAGAAGGGGCCAGAAGGAAGCACCGCCTTTCTCCATCCACTCCGCCGCCGGAGACGCAGAGCGAGAAGGTGACGGTAAAGCTGGCGCCGGCGCGTCCCGCCCGAGACGGAGCGCGCCCGTGGGTGACCGTCGAGCCCAGGAGTCGTGAGGGTCCGAGAGCCGAGTTGGCCGGAGCGAGAAGGGCGGGGACCTCCTGCGGCTCGGCGGAGGCCCGGAAAAGGGGCAGAGAGGGCCTGGGGGTCGGCGAGAGGGCTGGGTGACGGGGCGGAACGGGCGGAGAGGGAGCCGAGCGGGGGCACCCAGGCCCCGGGCGCCGGGCGCTGAGGGACGCTGCGGCCCAGCGCGGGCCGGAGGGCGGTGGAGGAGCCAGGAGCGATGCCGCGGCCGGGGAAGAGCTCGTACAGCGACCAAAAGCCACCCTACTCCTACATCTCCCTGACGGCCATGGCCATCCAGCACTCGGCCGAGAAGATGCTGCCGCTGAGCGACATCTACAAGTTCATCATGGAGCGCTTCCCCTACTACCGCGAGCACACGCAGCGCTGGCAAAACAGCCTGCGGCACAACCTCTCCTTCAATGACTGCTTCATCAAGATCCCGCGGCGGCCCGACCAGCCCGGGAAGGGCAGCTTCTGGGCGCTGCACCCCGACTGCGGCGACATGTTCGAGAACGGCAGCTTCCTGCGGCGCCGCAAGCGCTTCAAGGTGCTGCGCGCCGACCACGCTCACCTGCACGCCGGGAGCAGCAAGGGCGCGCCGGGAGCCGGGCACGGGGGACCCT